CTCCCCTTCCCCCCAAAGATCCGCAAAGTCTGGCCGAGGGGCTCCACGCTCCTCATCAAAATTCATGGAAACAATTTTAATTAAAGATTTCCCCCCATTATCCTGGTATTTCTGTTTCATTCCATCCGCGTTGCTTGGAAGAAAGGAAGCGGGCTATTGGAACGTCATGATCGTTTGTTGTTCCAGGAATATCTATGCACAAAGGCTATGCATTCGTGCAATTCACAAATCCCTTTGATGCCCGGAGCGCCTGCCTCGGCGAAGATGGCCGCACCGTTCTTAGCCAGATACTCGGTAAGTAATTTCTCTCTTGCCGAAACATTAATAACTCGTTCCTATCTTATATATAAACGTTTATAAACGTTCCCTCCCCCAGCCATATAATCGTGCCGAATATTTAAATATTAATTATAAACAACGTTTGGCAACACCAACCCCCCTCTCCTCCCTCCCAACCATCCCTTCAACCCGCGGAAACGCCAATTAATTATTGGCTTTCGTTCCGTTGAAAATTCCCGGTTTTGAAAGGTGAACTCCTGGCAGGATTCACGGTTCTTTGACGTCTCCGTTGCTTTTCCGCTTTTTCAAGTTTAATGGCGGCGCTGCAACCCTCTCGCGAAACGCCCGTTTCGAGCGCGAGGATTACGGCGAAACGTTTCGATCGTTCTTCGAATCTCTCTCACTCTTGATACCTGTTTCAATTTCCTGGTAAAAATTGCTCGCGGAATCGTTCGGTCTCGTAGTGGTGATATTTGGTTGGTAATTCGGAATATTTTGGAAAAAAGTGTGAACGAAGTGGGAAGATTTAGAATTTGGAAAGATTTTTGTTTTTTTTTTTTGAGGGAGGAGAGGAAGATATATTGAGAAGAACATCAGTTCTTTGTTCGAACGTTATTCTGGGAAATTAAATAAAAATTTTTATTTTACTTTCCGTTTTAATTTTAATTCTTTCGTTATAAGAAGAAATTAACGAGGATGACCGCGATTCAAAACTGGTTCATTCGTAAATTGTATTGGGAATGCCTCAATTAACCACTTTACTCGATAATATCTCCATCAATTTCTTCCTCTATTATAGTACAATTATTTTTCTCAAATGGAAATAAGTAGTTATCTTTCCTCTCTTCTAGGAGAAAATCAAATTTACATATCCGTATAATCTATATATATTGGAACAATTAATAATTCGTTTATTTATATTAAATTTAAATCGTTCTAAATTTTTAGTTAGAAGTTTTCATAGAAATTGCAAATGAATTTCGGAGGAGGGAATATATAAGATGATACGATATTGGATGAAGTTAGTAGTTGAAACCGTTGAAAGTTTTTGATGAAAAATTCATTAAATACATCCAGTAACAAGGTACGTCTTACACATTGCATTTTGTATGAATTCCAGATCAAAAAACTCATAATCGTAATTACAACATATTTTTTTCTTTTTTTTTTTTAACAAATTACAAATTCTTTCAGATCTTCCTCCCAAAAAATTCAATGCTCCGTGTTAGAGAAATTATCAAGAAATTCTGAAGGGATTTTTTTTTCTTCGAAAATAATTCTTACCCTCACCAGTGAGCAAAGTGAATTACGAAATTGGACGAGAACGAATTATAATTTCAACGAATCTGGATATGGAGGATAGCGATTGGCGCGATCATTTACGAAGTTAACTCGACGCGGTGGAAGGTTGTTGGCCGCAGTCAGGAACGAACGAGAACCGAACAGATCCTTAAAAGCGAAGTATCATCGACTTCCAGCCATTAGTTTCCAAGTTCTCTCGGGAATCTGACTAGAGACAGGGGGGATACGTTCGAGAGCATTTAGCAAACTCGCGAAACTTGCCACGAGAATCGGATTTTCCTCCTTTGCACCATTACGAAATTTGCATGATTTTCGACCCGATTCGTAAACACACCGATCGAACGAATCTTTTTCCTTTACTTTCCTTTCTTTCTTTTTTTTCTTTTCTTTTTTTATTTTCACTTATATATTCTTTCTTCCTCGTTAGTGGCGTCGTTCGTACGGATAACAAGATGGAGTTTGAAATTTCGTGGTTTGCTTGAAACTGGATGGAGGTTAGTTTAAACCAGAGCTGTATATAGAACGTGTTTCACGTCTCGCTAGTTCAACAGTTGAACAAGCTGCTACGAATACGCCGGTCAATAAGACAAATATGACTTGAAAGGAGAAATAAGGATAGGTATCGACTAGGTGCTATCTTGCCCGCTCAACATTCCCCTGCCCGGTGTATTGTAAAATCAGATGAAATTGGACACGACTCGACTTTCTTCGTCTAATATTTTATTTATGATCTCCTTACGTTATCCGCGGATTGCAACGAATAAATACCTTAACACCACTTATTCGAGCCAACAACTCGTGTATTTCCCGTGTAAAAGAAGGCACATATTAATTATTAAGAATAACAATTTATTCAGATTAGACTTAAACTCTTCGAATACAAAATATCCCATCAAGGATAATTCGATTTTTTTCATTATTCAAATCCATCGTTCATTTCGCGTCAAAGAAAGAACCAACTCGCGAAACTAAATTACAGATAAATTTTCCGAATTTTTCGAAATCCAAATCCTTCATTCTAAGTGCTGGCAATAATACGATACCTTTTCTATCTCTATCTAGGTTGAAAACTCCCTTCCCCCGAGAAAGAAACTCGCGCATTAATCACAGATAGAAAGTTCATAAGTCCTCCCCCTGTCGGTATTCAGATCGTAGAGTGAATCGACAGCCGCCTCTTTTCCCGCTTTTTCTCCCTGCGGGCCTTGAAAAGTATCCCAGGAACGGGATACTACTACTAGGCGACACAAAAATCAACGACAGTCCACGATGGCCACGGCAAGAAGCGGACCTGTCTACACATATACGCCTTCGGTTCCTTTCTTCTTCGTTCCACCCTTCGCCCGGTTCCTCCAACCCCTCCCCACCTCTCTCGCTCGATTCGCCCAGAAATCTTTCTTTGGCTAATGCAAGAACTGTGTTCCCACTGTACCTTCCAACCGCCTACCTTCCGGCGTCCATATATACTACCCCCTCCGTTGTACGTTCCACCCTTGGATTGGGGGTAGGAGGATACCCGGGGAGACGTGCATTTACAAGCGCTCGACTCACCACAGGGAGACCTCCTCTACCCATGGCTTCACGTTCCTTCCTATATAATTCTACCGCTGCACACGTGTACGTAGAGAAAGTTCGCCGAATGAGAAACAGCCGAATAAAACCCCTCCCCTTTGCGACGGCCGGCCGATTCCTCGCCATCCCCCTCTGAAACCGATCGTTTCTTCGAGGTGTCGAAGCGAAATTTCTTTTTATCCTTTTCTCGTTGCAGGGTGTGTCACCTTTGTGATCGCGTTCCCTTCGAATTTTCATCTTTTGATTATAAGAGTAATTTTTCAAGGTCTCTTTATTTCAACGGTGCAAATAAATATGCAGGAGGAAATGGTGTGTTGTGATGGTTGAATTTTTAATTCGAGCGATTGGTAATGATAAAGAATTTTGAAGAAGTTTTTTAATTGAATGAATCTCTAAATAAATTGAGAAATTTACGGAGCCAGTTTCGAAAGGGTCATATATCAGATCAAGTAGAAAACTGTAACACGGAACGATTCTAGGATTGAACTGCACCGTGACCGACTCGAGTTGAATTTAAATTTCGATCGTAATAGATTGCCAATTAATTCTAACTTCGAGTTTCATTCTTCAGGGTCCTTTGTGCGAATGAAAGGATATTGGATCGAAGAATTATTTTCCTCGATTTATTTTCTTCACTTTGCCGGTTATCAGGTTAAAAGGAATGTTAATATTCTGTAACCAGTGCTTGGATCTTATTTCATCCGAAGAAAATACGCTTTTCGGCCTGTCGAGCTTCCCATATTTCTCTAATATCTATATAACGGGATTTTCAGGAGGAGGAGGCATAATTATGCGAGGTGGTGGGCGAATCTACGAACCAACTCGATGCGCTTTCAGATCTCTGAGAAATTAGCTATCAAAAGGAAGGCGGATGGAATATCGGCCTCTACGATGAAGAAGGATCTTATAAAAAATGAATTTCCATCTCCGATAGATTTTTAAATACGTGTTATTTCTGTCGTTTTCGGAATAGATGTTAGTCTCCAGAATAAACCATAGAAGAATAATCGATAGAAGAAACGTAAATAAAAAATTATTGGACAAAAATTTTAATAAGTTTAAAGTAGTTGTCGATGTCGATAAACATTTATTACAAGCGATTACTTTCATCACCATTGGTCTTTTGTTACAATTACTTATTTTTATTTCATAATTACTTTTTTTATTTCATGCAAAATATACTTCTTCTAAATTTTTAAAACGATATGTTCTGTGACGAAATGATTGTAAAATTGTAACGAAAAGATTTTTATTTTAAACAATTTTCGATACTCGACGACGAAAACGTTTCCATTAGCTCGGTGCAAGGTATAGGATGAAAATGAAATCGTGAGATGATATTGCGCGCTTATCTCGTTTCGCATAATCTACGAAACTTTTTATGCATCGCATATTTTCTCAAAACGCACAAGCTGAATATTTTAGAACGGTATTTATTAGGATGTATCATGTATGAAAAGTTTTACCGGCACTTCCTGTCATTTTATATGACACCTCTCACACTTTACTTCGGCCTAGATATATTCAAGTGTCACGTTTCCTACCCTTAAAAGATGGCAAAAGGTTATCTAACGTGATATTTCGTGACGATGCACTTTATCCCCAAAAGTTCTAAATAAATAATAAGTAAAGTGGATTGCAATCAACAAATTACTGTTATCAAAAATATTGCCCTTATATCTTTCATTCTGAATCATTACTTGCGTTCGAAGTCACGAGTGTGAAAATTTATGGCAGTCAATATAAGTGTGAACGCAACATATATAACTATATATGTATATGACACTATTTATTTTCATAGGAACTTTTATGAGAATATTATTATTTATTTTTTGTAAAATAGTTGGATTAAAAGTTTGCTTTATTTTAAAAAAAGTGCATTGTTCGCTTTTCCTCTCTATAGATTTTTATTAAAGTAATTTCATAAATTTTGCAAACTTTTCGTTGAAATTTGTTGCATTTTCAGTCCAAAAGTGCACTATTTAAAGCGTTACGTTGCGCGACATACATTAATTACCCTCAAATTGAATTCCATTTATCCCCTCTCTTCTTTCTAAAAAAAAATCCTACCGTTAATTTCAATTATGCCCCCGTTGGGATTGGTTTCAATTGAAAATCGAACTAATCGAAAATCGTACTATCGT